ACAACGAAGTGTGGCCCTGCCTGGTCGCTATTACACAGTAGCGCTCAATGTCAGCGTATTGGTTGGTGACGTGGTGCTCAATTCCGTCGTGGTGGACAAGGTGTTAGCGCTCGATTCCGTAGTGCTGGCTACCGACGCGGTGCACGGCTCCGTCATGGTGACCAGCGTGGGAGCGCTCGGTTCTGTAGTGCTGGATACCGACGTGGTGCCCGACTCCGTCATGATGGACACCGTGGTAGCGCACGATTCCGTAATGCAGGATACCGACGTGGTGCTCAACTCCAACATGGAAGACACCGTTTTCGAGTTTGATTCCGAAGTGATGAATTCCGACGTGGTGCTCGACTCCTTTGGCACAGTAGCGCCCAGTGCACGTTGTACTGGATAGCGACTTGGTGCTCAACTCCGTCATGGAGGGCGCCGTGGTAGCGCGCAATTCTGCAGTGATGCATAGCATGCGTAGCGCCCTAGCCATCTAGGGCGTGATCCAGGGAATGCCAGCCCGTCCTCGGGTGGGGCTTCTCTCCTCCTGGTTGTGCAGATGGTGATGGTATCATTAATGGTAGCGGCGACGGAGGTGAGCGTGGTAGCGGTGGGGACGGAGGTGGCGGCAGAGGGCGCGGTTGTGGCAGCGGTACTGGGAATGGTAAGAAGGTCTCACTGAATACTCTTAGGTCGGCCATGTCCCCCTACAGGCGGATTTTTGTCGAAACATCAAAAATAATCCAAAAATGCCCAAAAGTAAACAAGCAATACTCAAAAAGTCGTCCCCTGATTATTTTTGACTATTCTTGAATATTCCTCCTGTAGAGGGACAGGCCCGACTTAAGAATACTCCACGAGGTCGCCTCCGTCCGCGCTGCTCATGGACGTGTCACCTGACTGCGCCTGTGTCGTGCTGGTGCTGCCGCCAAAATGCTGGCGTCGTGCTCGGCATCGGTGCTGCTGCCAGCAGTGCGACCCAGATCCAAGATCGGGGAAGTGAGAGGCGGGAACAAAAGAGGGATGAGAGCCAGCGTCAGAACGATGATAACGGGTGCCGGAACGATGATAACGGGTGCCGAAGGCGGAGAAGCGGGAGCCCAAGTCGGAGAGACGGAAGCCGGAGTCGGGAGCAGGGGTCGGAGAGAAAAACAGGAGCTGGAGTCGGAGAAAAAAGGAGCAAAAGTCGGGGAGATGTGCGCCAAAATCGGAGCGATGAGAACGGGTCCTGGAATCGGAGAAAGGGGTGCTGGAGTCGGAGAGACGGGACCATGCTGCTCGGTGACGTGGTGCACCTCGCACTCCTCGTCTTCATCGTGGACCCCCTGACCTGGAGTCGGAAAGAAGCGAAAGAGCGCCGGAGTTGGAGAATTGTGAGCTGGAGTCGGAGAGAAGGAAGCTGGAGTCGGAGCGACGAGAACGGGTGCCCGAATCGGAGAAATAAGAACTGTGGTCAGAGAGCCGGGACCGTGATGCTCGGCGACGTGGTGACTGGCAGATCGACACACACACACACACACACACACATTTCCTTCTGACGCCACGGCGCCGCACGGAATGAGCTCACGGTCCACGAAACCACTAGGACGTACAACTTCGTCCGCCAGACGAAACACAAAGAACAAAATGCACGCACGCGTACGTTGTCATCCGCCAGCAGTGTGACACCACAGTCACACACACACACACTCGACACAACACACGCTCGACACACTCTCCACACACACACACACCGATCCTGGGCCCAGGACTGGCCTGATCAAGATCGCGGTGTAGACGTATGGTTAGCATCCTTGCGACAGAAGGCTCCCTCCACTCCAGGCCGCTGGAGGTCCATCGGGCGCCTCCAGCGCAGAGGCCCCCGCGAACCCAGAGAGACGCACGGGAAAAGAGCACGCCGCACAGCGCTGACCTACCAATGGCGAGCGCAGAGACCGGTGGTTGGTGGCTGTCCAGAACGACTCGATACGGTGTGGTGGAGGGGGGACGGTCTGAGGGCTCTGGGGCGTGCGCGTTTGCCCGTTCGAACTCGTCCAGCCTTCAAGCTGGACACCGGGACCGCGCCATATGTCTCCATCGAGAAATAAAGGATGTTCTGGCTCACCAGGAAGGGCGGCCCCACTGTCCCGTCCGTCAAATCAGCGAAACGGATAGTTTCTTCCACCTCACCCTGTGTCAAAGTCACAACTAGTTCCGTCTTGCTGTCACTGCTAGGGAAGCTTACGCTGACGTAGAACGCCTTGGTTGCGTCGATGACGGCATCAGGCGCTACACCGCAAGATATGTCACTTTGGAAAAAACGCTCGGCGACACAAAGCTCGCCGTCAGCCTCAGCGTAGTAGCACTCGGCCTGCTCGTCGGAGCCCGTCCGCAGCGAAACAGAATAGGCGGACCTTCCGTTAGTCTGTATCAAATTCACGTCTGGGCAGAAGTTGTCCGGCCTTCCGTCGCAGTACTCCTCGCTCAAAACAACGTCCCCGCTCCCCTCTGGCATGATCAGGCCGACGAGTGCCGAGACGAGCTGGCCACCGACGAGACCGGAAGGAACGCCTTCCAACAGCACCTCGAGGCGTGAGGTAAAGAGGCCCTGATCGGGGGCGGCCAAGAGGGGGGCGTCCAAGAGGGGGGGGCGCAAATCATGGCTGGCGACATGTGCGCGGCCCACGGGGGGGCAGGGACGTAATGAGATAAGAAGAGGCGCCATGAGATCTGGAGAAGTATCATGGCCAACGCCATGATATCCACCCCCCCCGTAGTCATCACCCCCCTCTTGGCCGCCCCCGACCTGAGGGCCACGCGCCCTGGACCTCCGAACTCTCCCCGGGACCGATGGCTTTCCTGCCTGGCCGTTTCTAGGCGGCCCCTGGGGCCCTGGGGCCCTGGGGCCGGGAAGGACCCCACCCCCATCTCCTCCTCCTCCTCCTCCTCCTCCTCCTCCTCCTCCTCCTCCTCCTCCTCCTCCTCCTCCTCCTCCTCCTCCTCCTCACCCCAAGAACCCGTCCCAGGCATGCCATGCCTTGATGTTTTCAATGCCCCAGAAGTCCCGGCCCTGTCCCCGGGGCGGGTCCTGCATCCCGAATCGTTTCTTGACGGTCCTGCGGCCCGGTGAGGGCCCCCCACAGGCCCAAAACGACCAGAGAACTCCCGTCCGAATTTTTTCGAGACGCGAGCATGTCTGGGTCCTTCCCCTCGGGACTCCATCCTCATGGCGCGCCTTGAACTGTATCGAGCCGCCGTTCAGGTCGAACGCGGCGCGGGTGCCGACGCGGCCGTCTCCCTCGATGATCCAGCCCTGCTGCTGCAGGGTGGGGCCCTCCTCGAAGGACTGCAGGTCGTCCGCGGAGGGACAATATCTCGGCCCCTCCCCCCTTCGTGAAGGACCCAAAGGCCCACGCCGGTCTACCCGCTAGCCCCCCCTCCCAGGCCCGACAACGAGGATCGGAGATCGATCTGTCTTTCTATCTGGGGCGGGGGGGGGCTCCAAGGCAGAGCACCCTCACGGCCGCGGGGGCTCTGGCCAGAACGCAACCTCCCGAGCAGGTCCCCGGGTCGACTCTCGGTCTCTCCCTCCCCTCCTCTGGCAGGATCCGTCAGCGTCGAATCGGGAAATCGAATCGAATCGAAGTGTGAGTCGGAGCGGGCCGCATTCGCACGGAGTCGGAATCGGATCGGATCGACTGCGCCGAGATGCGCAGCAGCGCCATGCAAGCATCGGACCGCATCGGATCGCCCGAACACCGAAATCGGGTCAGATCGATCGGATCGAGTGGGCGAAACCGGTATCGAATCGGATCGATCGAATCAAAAGGGGCCATGGGCGGGGAGGAGGGGAGCGGGAGCTCGGTGCAGGTCTTTGGGGCCCAGACCCTATGACTGGTGCTGTTGGTTCTGGTGGTGCTGGCGTAGCTGGTGCTGGCGTAGCTGGTGCTGGCGTAGCTGGTGCTGGCGTAGCTGGTGCTGGTGTAGCTGGTGCCGGCGTAGCTGGTGCTGGTGTAGCTGGTGCTGGTGTAGCTGGTGCTGGTGTAGCTGGTGCTGGTGTAGCTGGTGCTGGTGCAGCAGGTGCTGGTGCAGCTGGTGCTGGTGTGATGGCGTACAGGTCCCACTTGCCGCTGGGGTACCGGTCGCACGGCTGCTTGTACCTCAACTGCTCAGAGGCCCCTCCCGAACTACCCCACTGGAGAACAAGCTGGGGCGACCACGCCGACGCTGAAGAAGCATGGTCCAAACGCCTTCGAGCGGCCTGCCGTCCAGCTGCAGACTGCCACTACGGAGCTCGCACACCAGCTTCCGTGAAACTCCCCTGCACCCTGGACCCATCCCCCACAGGCCAGCAGGATGCATTAACCATGGAATCGGCTGCGCTCGGTTGCACAACAGCGCCATATCAGAGCAACGGGCCAGATCGGACCGTTGGAATGTCGGAATCGAATCGGATTGGGCCATTCAGGATCGATATCGAATCGGATCGATCGGATCGAAATGGACCCTTGAGGGTGGAGCCCCACCCTTGGACCCTCTCTGCGGAAAGATCACGACGTCTGACAACTGGGTTGACACTTCTCCTCCTCCTGCTCCTCCTCCACCGCCTCCTCCATCGGGGGCGCGCAAACATGGATTAGCGATCCATGGATTTGGCGCGCGGTCGCGAAATCCAGGAATCGGGGGAGTTGCCCCCCCAAAATGCGCCCGGTGCCGCCTCGCTCGGCGGCGGAAATCCGCGATTTCCCATGGAAACGGGACCCGTCGCTGATCCGCGCCCCCTTGGTCCATGCTTGCGGTCGCCTGACCCCATCCCTCCCTCCCTCCATCCCTCCGTGCCTCCCGTCTCTCCTCCCCTCTCCTCGGGAAACCAAAAGGTACCGATGCTGCTGCTCCCCGGACCTTTCCATGGGTGCGTTCTGACCAGGATTTCAGGGCGAATCCAGCGGCGGCGACGAGGACCTCCCTGGCGGCCCACAAGAGGCGAAAACGATGCAAGGGCGGCGGCATGGGCACCTTTCCCTCTTCTGATCCACCCCATGCTCCCTCCTCTCCCCCTCTCCCTCCTCCCCCCTCGTCCGTCTCCCCACCTTCCCTAGCCCTGCGTCGCCTGTGGCTGGCGCGCGGAGCAAGGGAGGCCCCCTGGCCAGGAGCGCCACCCTCCCCCGGAGGGGGCGGCGCGGGAGGCGGCCTCGGACACCGAGGCCAGCACTGCACGGCCACCGCGCTGCCGCGAGGGCGCCGAAGAAGGAGCGGAGGGCCTGTTACTTCATTGTGGCCACGGCGAGCCTCCCCGACCTGGATCCGAGGGGTGGCCCAGCCCGCAAGCCAAAGCCCTGCCCCTGCGCCCAAGCTGGCCCTCGTCCCCGCGTCTTGACCGTTCGGGCTGGGCGAAGGGGGGGGATAGCAAAGGGGGGGCTTGAGAATCAGCTCACGTAGCTGATTTTCCCAGCGCCTCCCGGCGCATGAGGCGTCCGTGTATCGAGGAATGGGCCCTCGGTGGGGCCGAAACCAGCTGCTTGCAGCAAATTTCGTAACCCCCGCTTTCCCTATCCCCCCATTTCGTCCAGCCCGAACCGTGAGGGTGCGGGCTCCGGCCCCAGGGCTTCGCCACGCCAGCGCCTGTGAACGCTGCTCCCGCGAGCAGGCCTGCCGCGCAGGATACCCCAAGAATGCGGCTCCCGCCCGACGCCTCCCCGCAGCGATCTCGAGTGCAGGCGAGTGAACGCTGCTCCCGCGAGAAGGCCTGCCGCGCAGCATCCCCCGAGAATGCGGCTCCCGCCCGACGCCTCCCCGCAGCGATCTCGACTGCAGGCGAGGCAACACCATTGGAGGCCTGGAAATGGGCACCAACACCAACACAGGGGTTTGCCTCCACAGGGGGAAGATGATCCTCGATTTCGGTGCTGGTGGTCATATTTCGGTAACCGCGGAAGCCAGAATATTACCGCCATCACCGAGATCGGGATCTTCCTCCCTCGGTGGAGGCACACCTCCGATACTGGTGTTGGTGTCAACCTCCGTGCCTGCACCAGGCCCTCTTAGACCCCCCCCTTGCGGCCGCCTTGCGGGCCACGGGGCACCGCCTCGGGACGCCGCCCCGGGGCAGGCGCGCAGCTCCCAACCTTAGGTCGGGCATGTCCCCCTACAGGCAGATTTTGGATGAAAAAATACTCCAAGTTTGTCAAAAAATGCTAGGAAAAATCGTCCCCATACGATCTCTCTACTATCTTTGAATTTTCCTCCTGTAGAAGAGCAAGCCCGACTCAATCCCAGCCGAGACGCTGCCGCGACCTGCGGTGCGCAAGGGCGCAGCTCCCGCGCAACGCTCCCCTGCGCAGCCTGCTCCGGGCGTGCGGCTCCTGCTGCTCGAGGCCTCCTCTCGCGGGCGCACGGTCGGGAACGTCTGCTTCGCGTGTCGCCGCGGCGGCCCTGGCGGCACGCCGTGCCCTGCAAGCGGGCAGCGCGTCGCTCGGCTCCGCGGGGCGGGAGGCTCGGAGAGGCTCGGGACGCTGACGCCCGGAGGCCGGGAAGCGGATTGCGTGCCGCGCGGCAGCGCCGTGGGCCAAAACTGGCGGGGCGGCGCAGTATCCAAGAGCTCCCGGCCGCAACTGGGAGAGCGGCTCCCGGGCCCGCGCCGTCGCCGCCCGCTCGGCCGGGGCTGCAGCTGCCCTGCTGCCCGAGGGGGTCCCAACGGGGGGGGGGTCCGGCCAAATTCCCCGATTCCCCCGATTCCCCAGATTCCCCCGATTCCCCCGATTCCCCCATGGGGGTCATCCGCTCCCGAAAATCCTTCAAGGACTCCTCCGGTGGCCTCGACATGGCCCCGGGACGCCAAACGAGCGTTCCAAGACACCCAAGGTGGCCCAAAGACGGGCTACGAGGCCTCCTAGACGGCACAAGAGGTCCCCACGAGGCCCCAAGAGGCCTCCAAGATGCGTCCCAAGAGGGTCCCTCGACGCAAAAATTTGCCCATTCCCTCCGTTAAACCTAAATTTTTCAAAAGTTCGCCTTCTGGGTTTTCCGATGCTCCAAGACGGCCCAAGAGGCCCCCAAGACCGCCCCAAGACGGCCCAAGAAGCCTCCAACAGGGTCCCAAAATAGCCGAAGAGGGCGCCAAGACGGGCCAACAGGCGTCCAAGACGGCCCAAGAGGGCCCCGAAAACGGCCCCAAGAGCGTTCCAGGAGCGCCCCGAGTGGCCTCCAAGAGAGCTCAATATGGTCCCAGACGGTCCAAGAGCGATCAAAGACACCGAAGACGGCCTCCAGACGGCCCAAGATGCCCCCAAGAGGCCCCAAGAGGCATCCAAGATGCGCCCCAAGAGGGCCTCTAGACGCAAAAAATTGGCCCGTTCCCTTCGTAAAACGTATATGTTTCACAAATTCGCCTTTTGGGTTTTCCGACGCTCCCGGACGGCCCAAGAGGCCCCCAAGACCGCACCAAGACGGTCCAAGAAGCCTCCAAGAGGGCCCCAAGACAGCCCAAAAGGGCGCCAAGACGGCTCAAGAGGCGCCGAAGACGGCCCAAGAGAGCCCCGAAGACGGCCCCAAGAGCGCTCCAGGAGCGCTCCACGTGGCTTCCCAAAGAGCTCAACATGGTCCCACACGGTCCAAAAGCGATCGAAGACACCCGAGATGGCCTCCAGCTGGCCCAAGACGCCCCGCAAGGGGCCTCCAAGATGCGTCCCAAGAGGGTCCCTAGACGCAAAAAATTGCTCCTTCCCTTCGTAAAACGTATAGTGTTCACAAATTCGCCTCGTGGGTTTTCCGACGCTCCAAGGCAGCCCAAGAGGCCCCGAAGACCGCCCCAAGACGGCCCAAGAGGCCCCCAAGACGGCCCGACGACGGCCCAAGATGGCCCCAAGACGGCCCAAGAGGTCCCCAAGACGGCCCAAGAAGGCTCCAAGACGGCACCAAGAGGGACCCAAGAGGGCAACCAAAAATTCAAAAATCTAGCTTTCCGCCCCCACGAGCCCCAGGGGGGCCCAAGAGTGCCCCAAGAGGCCGCCAGAGGCCCCCAAGAGGCCGCCAAGACGCCCCAAGGAGTCCCCAAGAGGCCCCCAGGAGGCCTCCAAAAGACCCCCAGACGCTTCTGCATTGCGAGCCGTCAAGCCAACTGCAATGCACTCCGCGCGTGCAGCCTTGCTCGTCCTCGCGACGTGCTCACAATCTTGCTCGGCGCTAATGTGCTGCTGCTACGCGAACTGTTTCGTGCGCGCTGCGAACGTCAACAGCCTCTTCACCCGTTTCGACTCATCTGCCACATCTTTCGCGGTGATGCTTCGCTGATCACAGCTTCCGCACGCTACTCTTGCTCCTTTCGTCTTCTGGTGCTCCTCCACTTGGTTCAGGGTCGAAAGGCCGACCTCCCAGAAGGACACCCCGCACCCGGGTGCACAGCACGCAAGGCGCTCGCAAAACACGCCCCAGACCACCGGCATCACGCAAACATTTGGACCCCCTAGGTATCTGCCACCACCCGCGCGCGACACCGCACCCTCACACAAGACGCCGCTGGCCAGAAACTCCTGGCCTCGCAACAGTCACAGAAGGGGTCGGCGGATGTGGCGTAAGCCTGTAGAATAAAAATGTAAATATACATGTGTATATATACAAGCATAACATCCAAAACATGCAATGATCTGATTTGTCCATACGCGGCGACCCTTTTCCCCAGGACCGGTTCGTCATCCTTCGGGCAAGATCGTCTACATAATGATGTACCTCCGAATTGACTTGCTCGTCTTGGAAATACGGAGATACATGGAGTGTTTGCAGATCTACGAACATTAGATGTATCTTGTTGTAGACTCGACGCAAAATCAGTTTGTTGGCAAATCAACTTTGTAGTCGATCTCATGCTCGAACCCTGGGTCGTTTTTTCCACGGTCTTGGGGCAGAAAAAAGTGCCCCAAAAAAGAATCAAGACATACTAAAAAATCCTCCAAAAAACTATGTTTTAAAAACTGTCTTTGAATACCCCCCTGTAGAGGGGCAGGCACGAATTTAGTCTCTTGCGGCCACCATCGCCCGAGGTGCCCCCGCCGCCCCCGCGCCCCCCTCCTCTCGGCGGTGGACACACCTTCCTTTCGTAAACCTCCCCTCAGCCAAAACGGCCTGAGACCGAAACCGACGGACCTGGACCCGCAAAAACGACGGCCGCGACGCCCTCCCGCGAACCGAAAACGGCCCATTCTTTACTCGACGTGTCAGGGAAGAGGGAAGGTCCGACGCCAAAGCCTCGAGGGCCACCTCCGGGGCCGAGCGAATGACGGACAATTGGAGCAGGGAGCGGCTAAGGATAGAGAAGGGGGGCGAAGGATAAGAGCCGGAGGGGAGCGCGAGCGGCGCACCGAGGAGCAGAAGCGGAGAGAAAGGAAGTTTTCCGGTTGATCACACCAAGAACAGGGCGAGGTTGTTGACTAAATTAGGAGGTCTGCCCACCCCCGATCCTTAGCCAAAACGGCCTGAGACCGAAACTGACGGACCTGGACCCGCAAAAAAGACGGCCGCGACGCCCTCCCGCGAACCGAAAACGGCCCATTCCTTACTCGACGCGTCAGGGTAGGAGGTCTTGAAGGGGCCTTGGGGCACACTAATGAATACACACAAATAACAGGATTCCCCATATTTTCCCATATTTCCTGGGTTCTTGTCTTCCCCCACACTTCCCCTATTTTGGGGGAATCGACGATGAATTGTGTCTGTGTGTTTTTTGTTCCCTCCTGACAGGAGGTCTGCCCACCCCCGAGCCCCGGCGCGGAGAGCCAGGCGCCCAGAGGCGGCTTGGGGGGGGCCCGAGCGCCTGCGCAGAGCTCGCTCGCGCCGGGGCCCGGGCTCGGGCCCGGTGGTGCCTCTCCCCCGGGGCTCGCAGGGCCCCGGGAGCCCACAAATGAAGGGGCCCAAGGACACACAAATAAATACTCACAAATCAAACGCTTCCCAGTATTTTCCTATATTTTCTAAGTTTTTGTCTTCCCCCCCACTTCCCATATTTTCCCATATTTTCTGGGGAATCGACGATTAATTGTGTCTGTGTGTTTCTTTCCCTCCCGAACCAAGGACGTACGCGCCCAGCTATGCACGTGAACACGGCCCCTCGATCTGCGAGACCGGCCGCGCCATACGAGCAGTGGCGCAAGGCGTACTCTCGAGACCAGCGTGGATGCATGTGCGTGCACGCCCTTCTTTCGCTCCTGCAAGGGCCCCAGATCTGGGCTTCGCGACTGCTTCGCAAGGGGCGTTCTCGCCCGGCTTCGGACCCCAGAGCCCTCACGGATCGATCCGGCTCGAAACAGGACGCGGAAAGAGATGGGGCCGGCGCTCTGGTGGTGAGTCCTTGCGAGGTTGCTTCTTTTCCCGGCGACATCAGATCTGAGGGGAGCCCTGCCATGGGACGCACAGAGACATACTTACTAATACTGCATGTCCTCCTTGGAGGCGCGCGTCCGACCCGAACATATAGTATACCCATCTTGTAGCAGATCGTTTCCCGAGCGGTGTGGCCAGAAAGTGCCCGCCACGACGCATATACTATAAGATTCCTCGGTGCGCGCGTCGCCCAGGGGGGGACGAACCACATATCCGACTCAGCCATAACTGGGGGAGCTGTGGTCCTTACCCCCCTGGGGGAACCCATCGCATCGACGATCTCTCGACAGGGGTGTCGAAATCGATGGGCCCCCCAGGGGGGTAAGGAACATGGCTCCCCCAGTTGTGGCTGGCCTGCATATAGTATAAATATGTTGGGGTGACGCCGATGCCAAATACGGCCGCACGGCTGCAGCCGACGCAGGGACGGGATGCACGGGCACAGCACCGGCTGCGGCTGGGCCTCGCTCTCCGACGCGCCACGCCGTGAGAAGCAGTGCCTCGCCGGAGGCCGAGCGGTCGGCCCACGGGCCCTCGAGCACGCCTCGCAGGGGCAAGCATCCCCCCCCGCCGCCCCCGGCCGCCCGCATCCGTAATCGGGCCGGGCGAAAGGGGGGGATAGCAAAGGGGGGCTTGAGAATCAGCTTACGTAGCTGATTTTCCCGGCGCCTCCCGGCGCCGGGAGGCGGCTATGTGTCGAGGAATGGGCTCCTCGGCGGGGCCGAAACCAGCTGCACGCGGCAGATTTCGTGCCCCCCCCTTTCCCAATCCCCCCCTTTCGTCCGGCCCGACATAAGCACAGGCCCCCGGGCAAACCCTGGGCGTGTCGGCGCAGCAGCACCCAAGGCCTCGGAAGCGAGGCGAGGCAACCAGACGGCCAGCAGCAGAGCACCACGCCGAGGGTGGCCGGGCCCCTCCAGGGCCTGCCCAGGAGCCGGCGCGGTGCACAGCTGGCGCGGCTCGAAACTCCGGGGCCTCGAGTGGGGCTCCGAGGCCCGAGCCCACGGCCCCCGACCCCCTCTCAGCCGGGAGCCCTGGGCTCTTCCCTGGAGCCCTGGGCTCGAGAAGAGCGGGGCGGGCGTGGTCGCCACGCCGTGTCGTCCTCGTCCTCCTCCTCCTCCTCCTCCTCCTCCTCCTCCTCCTCCTCCTCCCCGTCCTCACCATCGTCGACCTCTGTGTCTCCTCCTCCTCCTCCTCCTCCTCCTCCTCCTCCTCCTCCTCCTCCTCCTCCTCCTCCTCCTCCTCCTCCTCCTCCTGCTCAGCGTGTCGCGGCGGCGGCCCGGGCGGCACGCCGTGCACTGCAAGCGGCCAGCGTGTCGCTCTCCGCTCCACGGAGCGGGAGGCCGGGAAAGGCTCGGGGGCGGTGACGCTCGGGGGCGGGGGAGCGGATGGCGCGTCGCGCCGAAGCGCGATGGTCGGGCCGGGCGAAAGGGGGGGATAGCAAAGGGGGGGCTTGAGAATCAGCTCACGTAGCTGACTTTCCCGGCGCCTCCCGGCGCCGGGAGGCGCCCATGTCTCGAGGAATGGGCCCCTCGGTGGGGCCGAAACCAGCTGCACGCAGCAGATTTCGTAACCCCCCCTTTCCCTATCCCCCCTTGTCGTCCGGCCCGAGATGGACGGGCCAGACCCGGCGAGCGACACGCCACCCAGAAGTGCCCGACCGCAGCGCGCCGTGGCCCCGAGGGACGTGCACGGACGAGGGGGCGGGTGGCCAGGGCAACGGGATCTGGGAGATCCCGTGACCCTGGCCACGATATCCACACACACACACACACACACACGCCACAAGAAGAGGAGGCAATGAAAAAAGCCACGATATCCACACACACACACACGCACACACGCCACAAGAAGAGGGGGCAATGAAGAAAGCCACGATATCCACACACACAAACACACACGCCACAAGAAGAGGGGGCAACGGAAAAAGCCACGAGATCCACACACACACAAAGTCCTCACCCCCTTCGTGGACGCCCCTGACGGGGGGTCTGGGTCCGGAGCAGTGCCCAGCGGCGGCCAGCTGACGGGCCGGGGCCCGGCTGGGACCGCCACGTCAGGCACGTGCCGAACGTGTGGCCGTGTATCATCATGTTGCCGTTCTTGCGGCTGCCCCCCTTCTTCTGCCAGTTGAACTCCACGCAGCCTTCTCTCTTGTGGCAGTGGTCGGCGCACTTCTGCGCGCTCTCCACGATGACGAGGCTGCCCGTCTGTATCGAGGCGTAGTTGCGGCAGCCTGAGATGGTCTGACGGTTTTGAACGCCGAAGCCCCGCTGACCCAGAGAGAAAAGGGAGGAGGGAGGAGGATGCCTCGGGGGTCTCCGTCTCCATCTAGAGGTCCCCAGAGCTTCGGCAAAGTGTCCAACAGCAAAAACATCCTCGACTCTAGAGCCTCCTCGGCCCTTGGAGCCTCCGGAGGACCCCCAAAACAATTAAAGTGTAAACCCTCATTGACTCTCGATCCTCCTGCTGCCCCCCCGCCTCATCGATCCTCAACCTTCGAGAGTGAAGAGGAGGAGGAGGAGGAGGAGAAAGAAGGAGAAGGAGGAGGACCAGAGTAAACCCAAGACTCACTAACGATGTCGCAATAAATCCTCCCTCCAAGTACCCTCTTCAGAGAGGTCCCTACAAGGACATATATCCACTGAAGGAAGTGCCCCGTTGGAAGACAACGGTTTGAAACTCCTCACCCGTGCTCAAACACCACTCCAGGGAATTCAACGCCACGAATCAACGTTTCTGGTGCGTCCTGGCGATCCTGAATCGTGCCCGAACACCATTTCTCGGGCTTCAATACCGCCGCGAGTCAACCTGACTGTTACGCCCTCCTTCGACGCCAACCATAAGATCCCTTGAAACTGCTGTAAACTCTTGAAACGAATGTGCCCGGCGCTAAAGAGATGGCCACATCTTGAAAGTCGCCCGCCCTCCATCCGTGAAACTTTTGCAAATTTTTACAGCGAATTTGCGCGGCGCTACGGCGAGAGTCACATTTCGAAAACGGCCCGCCCTCCATCCGCGAAATGCCTTCCAAATGTGAATGCACGTCGCTAACGCGAGAGCCACATTTCAAAAGGAGTCGCCCTCCATCTGCAAAACTCTGGCACACGTTTCATACACATGCGCGCGGCGCTACGGCGAGAGTCACATTTCGAAAACCGCCCGCCCTCCATCCGCGAAACTCCTGCACATGTTTAAAACGAATGCGTGCGGCGCTGAGGCGAGAGCCAAATTCTTAAAACGGCCCACCCTCCATCCATGAAACTGCTGCAACTGTTAATGTCAAGGGCCACAAGCAGTGAGGAAGTCTCAGGCGAAACTCCCAGACCGCCCTACCGACACTCGGCGGCGACGACAGGGGCGAATAGCCCAGGGGCGTGCATTACACGTATTCGCCCAGGAGCCTTGTCGAAGACATAGATCATCGGCACCCCTGGATACATGTATTGCTCCCCCTGGGGCTATTCGCCCCTATCGTCGCCTCCGAGACACGTCTCCGGGTCCGAGAGGGAGGAGTTACTTATGAAGAAAAGGAGCAAGGGCGCTCCGCCCCCGCCCCCAAACGGAGCCCCGGCCGACGGGGGGCCTACGTTGCTGACGAGCCCGTCAGTCTTCGAGATGAGCCCGGAGGTCCAGGCGTCGAACGCCTGCTGGGCCTGCGCCGGTTGCAAGGGGCCATCCTCATCGCCACCACCAAAATACCATCACCACCATCGCCATCGCCATCGCCGTTGCCATCACCAGCATCATCATCATCATCATCATCATCATCATCATCATCATCATCATCATCATCATCATCATCATCATCCGCATCATCATCATCACCATCGTCATCAGCAGCAGAAGCATCAGCATCATATCATAATCATCAGCATCATCATCATGATCCAAATCATCATCGTCACCATCGTCAGCAGCATCATCATCATGATCATCATCACCATCATCATCATCATCCTCGTCATCATCATCATCATCATCATCATCATCATCATCATCGCCGTCGCCATCATCATAACTATCATCATCATCGTCGTCGACATCGTTGCCTTTTTCATCATCACTGGCACCAACATCATCATCGTTATCGCCATCGCAATAACAGTATGAATAAAAAGTATACCAGTAAGACGGACAAGAATAATAAGAACCATAAACACACCAAAAAAAACATCGTGATCATAACATTGAGAAACATAAGAATCATCAGTATCGTAAGCATCATCATCGTTAGTGCCGTCATCATCAAAATCATCATTATCAGCAGCATCAGCATCAGCAGCATCGTCATCTTCATCATCAGCATAATCATCAGCATCATCATTATTACCATTATCAACATCATCACCGTCATCATCAGCAGCATCATCATCAGCATCAGCATCATCATCACCGTCGTCGGCGTCGTCGTGGTCATCATCAGCAGCTTATCAGCATCGTCATCATCATCAGCATCATCGTCAGCGTCATCATCATCAGCACCATCGTCAGCAACAACATCCTCTTCCTTCTCCTCCCGCTCCTCCTCCTCCTCGTCACAAGGTCGGAACGCTGCGCGAGGGCTCCTCAGCGGCGCGCGGACTGCTCAAGGGGCACAGGTCAGAAGGGGGCCACGGGCGTGCGCCCGTGCCTCGATGCACTCCCCGCCTCGGTGCACTCCCGCGGGTAGTGCTCTTGCGCGCCCAAGGGTCTTGCAATTCCGGCCCGGACCCGGAAGGGCTTCGAGTGTGCAGCCGCGCTGTGCCATGTTTGGGGGCGAGTTCGTCGTCGCATCGCCCTGTCTTACTCTGCCTTGCCTTGCACTGGCATTGGTTTGCATTGCCTTTCAATGCCATGTCCTACGCGTGTTTCCTTACACTGCGACTCTTGCAATGGATTTCCTCGTCTTCCAAGCGAGATACCCCCTCGCCCCTGCCGTAACTGTATGGCCACGCTGCGCCAGAATTACACTGCCGTGTCATCCTCTGTGTTTCCTCGCATGGTCTTGCCTTGCGTTAGGTCAGGCGTGTCCTCCTACAGGGGGATTTTTGATGAAAAAATAAAAATTGTCAAAGACTACTCCAGATGGTCAAAATTACGCTACCGAGGAACCCCACATACTGATTTTTAATCTTATGTGCTTGCTTGTCATTATCATCTATGCGCAATGCTGCGTTCTAAACCCTCGTCGCGAATCGTCGTCGTACTTGTCGTACTCGTTGTCGTACTCGTCGTACTCGTCGTCGTACTCGTCGTCGTACCGAGCAAAGACAAGTCAGGTCGGTCCAGAACGGAACACCTAGGGCGGTTGAGCACGAGACACGTAAGGCGGCCGAGCACGAGACACCTATGGCGGGCGAGCACGGGACACCCAAAGCGGTCCAGCACGAGAGCGGAGCTGTCCAACGGTCGGACAAGTCAAGTCGGTCCAGCACGAGACACCTACGGCGGTCGAACAAGTCAGATCGATCCAGCACGCCACACCTAAGGCGGTCGAACAAGTCAGGTCGGTCGAGCACGAGACACCTAAGGCGGCCGAGCACGGACAAGCCAGGTCGGCCTCCTGGAGAGGAGGTAGAGGGCAAGGAGGAGGAGGAGGAAGAAGAGGAGAGAAGGGAGGAGGACCATCGTGCATAGCGGCCGAGCTCAGGGACCACCTCCTGCGCCCCCCTCTGGTGTCGAGAAAGTGCCACGCCTGCTGTGCCTGGACGACCGTCGTGCATAGCGGCCGCGCTCAGGGACCACCCCCTGCGCACCCCCTCTGGTGTCGAGAAAGTGCCACGCCTGCTATGCCTGGACGACCGGCGCGTATAGCGCCGCGCTCAGGGACCACCCCCTGCGCCCCCCTCTGGTGTCGAGAAAGTGGCACGCCTGCCGTGCCTGGACGACCGTCGCGCATAGCGGCCGAGCTCAGGGACCACCTCCTGCGCCCCCCTCTGGTGTCAGGACGACTGGGACGTATAGAGACCGCAGCGAGAGACCACCCCCTGCGCACCCCCTATGGTGTCGAGAAAGTGCCACGCCTGCTATGCCAGGACGACTGGGGCGTATAGAGACCGCAGCGAGAGACCACCCCCTGCGCACCCCCTATGGTGTCGAGAAAGTGCCACGCCTGCTATGCCAGGACGACTGGGACGTATAGAGACCGCAGCGAGAGACCACCCCCTGCGCACCCCCTATGGTGTCGAGAAAGTGCCATGGTGTCGAGAAAGTGCCACGCCTGCTATGCCTGGACGACCGGCGCGTATAGAGACCGCAGCGAGAGACCACCCCCTGCGCACCCCCTATGGTGTCGAGAAAGTGCCACGCCTGCTATGCCTGGACGACCGGCGCGTATAGAGACCGCAGCGAGAGACCACCCCCTGCGCACCCCCTATGGTGTCGAGAAAGTGCCACGCCTGCTATGCCAGGACGACTGGGACGTATAGAGACCGCAGCGAGAGACCACCCCCTGCGCACCCCCTATGGTGTCGAGAAAGTGCCACGCCTGCTATGCCGTATAGAGACCGGACCACCCCCTGCGCACCCCCTATGGTGTCGAGAAATTGCCACGCCTGCTATGCCAGGACGACTGGGACGTATAGAGACCGCGAGCGAGAGACCACCCCCTGCGCACCCCCTATGGTGTCGAGAAAGTGCCACGCCTGCTATGCCAGGACGACTGGGAGGACTGGTGTCGTCTTGTGTGTGCGAGTGTGTGCATGCGTGCGGCTGTATGTAGACGCGTGTCGCCGAGACGTGCTGTGCTGTGCTCTGCTGAGCTGTGCTGTGCTGTCCTATGCTGTGCTGCGGTCTGCTGTGCTGTGCTGTGCTGTGCTGAGGAGGAGGAGGAGGAGGAGGAGGAGGAGGAGGAGGAGGAGGGGAGGAGGGCGCGGGTGTGAGACGCGGGCGCGGCGCGGCAGGGAAGAAAACCAGAACCCCACGAAGCATGTGGGGAAATAGTCCAAAAATAGTCCCCTGACTAATTTTTGACCTATTTTGAATTTTCCTCCTGTAGAGGGACATGCCCGACTTAAGTCTTGCTGCGCCTCGCATCCCCGACTCCGTCTCGTCGTACACCGTGCAGCTTTGCGCGGCACGGTCCCGCGCGAAGGTGCCTCTCTGGGCCTGGCCCTGCCCCGTGTGGCCCTGCCTTGCCTCGCCTCGCCGTGCACGAGAGCTTGCTCGCACTGACCCTCGACGTTCCCTCGCGCGTTCACATCGACCACCAGCGCGGCAGCCGCCGCAACAGCGGCGGCTGTGATGCCAAAGCGGCGGCAGCCGCGGATCGACTCCAGAGTGCGCTGCCCTCCCGCCGCGGCGTCTGCGACCGCCGCGGCAGCCATGGCCGCGACGTCGACCGGCGGCGGCGGCGAACCCTGGGCCGTCCGGGGAAAGACTCTTGGGGCCATCCTGGGGGGGCCTCTTGGGCCGTCCTGGTTGGAGAGGCGGCTGGGGGGTTCTGAACTGAATGGACCTCGAGAACATGTCTCAAAAAGCGGGGATAAGGGCAGATCCGCTCAAAATCGGTCCCTAGACCCTCCACGGGGTCCACCTAGCCCAATTTTTCACCCTGGATCCGTTTCTGAAGGCCCCAGAACCCGAAAACGGCCCCAGGGGACAGAGAAAGGCAAAAACCTTCCCGAACCAGGAATCTCGAACCTGGCCCGTCTTCCTGCTCGCCAGATCAATACTGGGCCACCTCAGACCCCAGCCAGCTCCAAGACCTGGGGGCCTCTCGGTCTGTCAAAAGGGAACTCTTGGGACATCTGGTGGTTTCCTGGGGTTCTGGCCGTCCTGGGGGCAAGTTCGAGCCCTCATGGGCCGCCCTGGGCTCCTGCCCTGTGCAAGGCCCTGAGAAGGAGAAGGAGGAGGAGGAGGAGGAGGAGGAGGAGGAGGAGGAGGAGGAAGAGGGGGGAGGAGGAGGGAGGGAGGAGGGAGGATGGGAGAGGGGAGGAGGAGGGATGAGGGAGGGAGGAAGGAGGAGAAGAGGAACCGCAGGAGGGGCGAAAACGTCGAACTCCTCGATCCTCGTTCGTCGGGGAGGAGGGTGGAAGCGGCGGCCGCGCCAGTCGCAGCCGCGGCGGTCGCAGCAACGGCGGTCCTGCGCCGGGCCGCGCCAGCCAGTCGCGCGCACCTGCGCCGCCGCTGAGGCGCCCGCCCCCTCCCGCTCCATGATCATCATCATCATCATCATCATCATCATCATCATCATCATCATCATCATCATCATCAGCATCAGCATGAGCATCCGCATCAGCATCAGCATCAGCATCAGCATCATCATCATCGTCAGCAGCGTCACCATCATCATCATCATCATCATCATCATCATCATCATCATCACCATCACCATCACCATCACCATCACCATCACCATCACCATCATCATCATCAGCAGCATCATCGTCATCATTATCAGCGGCATAATCATCATCAGCAGCAGTCATCATCAGCATCATCATCAGCATCATCATCGTCGTCATCACCATCAGCGGCAACACCATCATCATCACCATCATCAGAATCAGCATCCGCATCAGCATCATCATCATCAGCATCATCATCACCATCATCATCACCATCATCACCATCAGCATCATCATCATCATCATCATCACCATCACCATCACCATCACCATCACCATCATCATCAGCAGCATCATCGTCATCATCATCAGAGGCAAAATCATCATCAGCAGCAGTCATCATCAGCATCATCATCAGCATCATCATCGTCGTCATCATAACCATCAGCGGCAACATCATCATTATCAACATCATCATCGTCATCATCATCATCAGCATCAGCATCGGCATCCGCATCAGCATCATCATCAGCAGCATCATGATCATCATCAGCATCACCATCATCATCATCATCATCATCATCATCATCGTCATCACCATTACCATCACCATCACCATCACCATCAGCATCATCATCATCAGCAGCATCATCGTCATCATCATCAGCGGCACAATCATCATCAGCAGCAGTCATCATCAGCATCATCAGCATCATCATCGTCGTCATCATCACCATCAGCGGCAACATCATCATCATCAGCATCAGCATCCGCATCAGCATCATCATCAGCATCATCATCATCATCACCATCACCATCATCATCATCATCATCATCATCATCATCATCACCATCACCATCTCCATCACCATCACCATCAGCAGCATCATCGTCTTCATCATCAGCGGCATAATCATCATCATCAGCATCAGCATCATCATCAGCATCATCATCAGCATCATCATCGTCGTCATCATCACCATCAGCGGCAACATCATCATCATCATCATCATCATCATCATCATCATCAGCATCATTATCAGCATCAGCATCCGCATCAGCATCATCATCAGCATCATCAGCATCATCATCACCATCACCATCACCATCATCATCATCATCATCATCAGCATCAGCATCCGCATCCGCATCAGCATCATCATCAGCGTAATCATCATCATCATCACCATCACCATCATCATCATCATCATCACCACCATCACCATCACAATCACCATCACCATCACCATCACCATCAGCATCATCATCATCAGCAGCATCGTCATCATCATCGTCAGCGGCATAATCAGCATCAGCAGCAGTCATCATCAGCATCATCATCAGCATCATCATCGTCGTCATCATCACCATCAGCGGCAATTTCATCATCATCATCATCATCATCATCATCATCATCATCATCAACATCATCATCATCATCATCAGCATCAGCATCCGCATCAGCATCATCATCAGCATCATCATCATCATCACCATCACCACCATCATCATCATCATCATCAGCATCATCATCAGCATCAGCATCCGCATCAGCATCATCATCAGCAGCATCATCATCATCAACATCATCATCATCATCAGCATCAGCATAGACATCAGCATCATCATCAGCATCATCATCATCACCACCATCACCATCATCATCATCATCATCATCATCATCATCATCACTATCACCATCACCATCAGCATAACCATCAGCGTCATCATCATCAGCAGCATCATCGTCATCATCATCATCAGCGGCGTAATCATCATCACCAGCAGTCATCATCAGCATCATCGTCATCAGCATCATCATCGTCGTCATCATCACCATCAGCGGCAACATCATCATCATCATCAGATCAGCATCCGCATCAGCATCATCATCAGCATCATCATCATGATCACCACCATCACCATCATCATCATCATCATCATCATCATCAGCATCAGCATAGACATCAGCATCATCATCAGCATCATCATCACCATCATCATCATCATCATCATCACCATCACCATCACCATCACCATCAGCATCATCATCAGCAGCATCATCGTCATCATCATCAGGGGCATAATCATTATCAGCAGCAGGCATCATCAGCATCATCATCAGCATCATCATCGTCGTCATCATCACCATCAGCGGCAACATCATCATCATCATCAGCATCAGCATCCGCATCAGCATCATCATCAGCATCATCATCATCACCATCACCATCATCATCATCATCATCATCATCATCAGCATCAGCATCCGCATCAGCATCATCATCAGCATCATCATCGTCATCATCGTCAGCGGCATAATCATCATCAGCAGCAGTCATCATCAGCATCATCATCAGCATCATCATGGTTGTCATCATCACCATCAGCGGCAACATCATCATCATCATCATCAGCAGCATCATCGTCATCATCATCAGCGGCATAATCATCATCAGCAGCAATCATCATCAGCAACATCATCAGCATCATCATCGTCGTCATCATCACCATGAGCGGCAACATCATCATCATCATCATCATCATCATCATCATCATCAGCATCAGCATCCGCATCAGCATCATCATCAGCATCATCATCATCATCATCGCCATGACCATCATGATCATCATCATCATCACCATCACCATTACCATCACCATCGCCATCAGCATCATCATCAGCAGCATCATCGTCATCATCGTCAGCGGCATACTCATCATCAGCAGCAGTCATCAGCATCATCATCGTCGTCATCATCACCATCAGCGGCAACATCATCATCATCATCAGCATCAGCATCCGCATCAGCATCATCATCATCATCATCATCATCACCATCACCATCATCATCATCATCATCATCATCATCGTCATCAGCATCATCATCATCATCACCATCACCTTCACCATCACCATCAGCATCATCATCAGCAGCATCATCGTCATCATCATCAGCAGCGGCATAATCATCATCAGCAGCAGTCATCATCAGCATCATCATCAGCATCGTTATCGTCGTCATCATCACCATCAGCGGCAACATCATCATCATCATCATCAGATCAGCATCCGCATCAGCATCATCATCAGCAGCATCATCATCATCACCATCACCATCATCAGCATCCTCATCATCATCGTCATCATCATCATCATCACCATCACCATCACCATCACCATCAGCATCATCATCAGCAGCATCATCGTCATCATCAGCGGCATAATCATCATCAGCAGCAGTCATCATCAGCATCATCATCAGCATCATCATCATCAGCATCAGCATCCGCATCAGCATCATCATCAGCATCATCATCAACATCATCATAATCGCTATCATCAGCATCATCATAAAATCAGCATCAGCATCATCAGCATCAGCATCATCATCATCGTCATCAGCAGCAGCATCGTTATCGTCATCATCATCATCATCAGAAGCAGCATCATCAGCAGCAGCAGCATCATCGTCCTCATCATCAGCAACATCATCATCACAATCAGCATCAGCATCAGCATCAGCATCATCATCATCATCAGCAGCATCATCAGCATCATTATCACCATTATCATCACCCACCCACAAGAGAACAATCAGCAGCACCAACGAGCCACGCATCAACATAAACACCCACATCGTCAGCAACAGCAGACATCATCAGCATCATCGTCAGCATCAGCGGCATCATCATCGTCATCATCACAATCATAATCATCAGCACCACCATCATCATCACCATCATAATCGTCATCATCGCCATCATCGTCATTGTCATCATGAACATGACACTCGCCAGCATCATCAACCATCGTTGTGATTGAGAGCAGCAACCAATTTCAGACTGGTCGCTCTTCGTCGCTCGCGCGTCTTCAACATGCATGCCCCAAACCCTCGATGCCCGCCCTCTCCATCTTCGATTATACCCCATTAGGGGTATACGGTATATCTTCCTTGCCTGCCAGCGGGTGGTTGGCGCGACCCCTGGAAAAAAGGAGGAAGGAGAAAGGAAAAGGGGAGAGAACGAGGAAGGGAGGAGTAAACGACCAGAGAGTGGTGCAAGAGGGAAGGAGGACCGAGGACGAAAAACATGCAGCAGGACGAGGGAGGAGAAACGAACGGGTAAATGGACAGGCGGATCCTCACGGGCACGCGGGGCGGGCGGGCGGGCCGGCCGGGCAGACCCTCACGGGCGGGTCGTGCAGGCAAGGCACTCAAGCGGGCTGGCGGAGTGGCGGACCCGAACGGGGCGGCTGGGCGGGAAGACCCCGACGGGCGGGTCGGGCGGATGGACCCCAATCTGCGGGCTCGGGCTCGGCGGGCGGAGCAACGAAGCAAAATTCAAACATCATAAAGGCGTCTCAAGCGAGAACACGATTTCACGATTTCTGGGGAAGTGTTAGCCAGCGTGGACCCCAAACAACGATTTCCTGCAACCAATGCGAAGCAATCCAGGTGGTGCAACCAATGTGGAGCAATCTAGGTGGTGAAGCCAACGTGGTGCAATCCAGATAGTGCAATCTATGTGGTACAATCTGCGTGGTGCAATCTATGTGGTGGCGATGGGATGCAAACTATGTGGTGCAAGCTATGTGGTGCAAGTCGATGTTGTGCAATGCATGCGATGTAAGCTATGTGGTGCAACGTATGTTCAGCAGCCTATGCGGTGCGATACGTGTGGTGCAATATATGCGGTATGATCTGTAGTGGTGCCATCTATGTCAGCAACGTGTGTGGTGCGACCTATGTTCAGCAACGTACGTATGTGGTGTAAGCGATGTGGTGCAAGCTGCGTAATACAATATATGTGTGATACAAGCTGGGCTGTGCAGGTCTAT